AGAGTGCTGAATTCTGCAAGGCTGGAGTATGTAAGACAGAGGTTATATTATATGTTGCAGTCAGTGCATATGTTTAGGCTCACCTTGGTTAGCATTTGCACCCTGAGGCAAAGCATTGGTTAAATTGGGCAGCTCGTTTCCATGGTTTCCATCTTCCCAGGGACAAACATCCACACTGTTCCATTTTTTCAGCTGTTTTAGCCAACTGGCCTTCTGCTCCAACTTGCAGTGGGGATTTAAGACTATACACATCCACAGAGCACCTGATTTTAAAAAAATTGCTAAATTATGTTTTCTATTAAAAATGCAGCAGCCAATGACTTATTGCAAACTTCTATACTGTAACACTTTTTCTCCCCTCAAAAGCTAGACTGCTTACTTCCCAGCGATGCCTAACACCAGGCAGGCCGAACTCCCGACACAAGATCTTGGAGCTGGCATGGCCCACCTGAAGCAGCTGAAAGATGGTACCAAGCCAATCTTCTCAATTAAAAGGCATTATGAGGTCTTTTGTATTACAAAAACCAGAGTTCACAATATATGGCTTATCAGTAAAAGCAAACAAGAATTCACATAAAGTTACAGCAGGAAATTAACCAAGTTTTTATACTAATTTTTACACCAGAAGTGAATGCTGTTTTCTATCGACAAGAACTATGTATCTTCCAGCTTCACATTAGAAGAACCAAAGAAGTGCCTTTGTAAGACATGTATTTTGTAAACATGTACTTCCACACACAGAACCCAGCAGAAGTACTGCTGATAGTATAACTTATTACTAAAAAACTACTGGGTCTCAGAGACCCAGTAAACACTGGTTCTGTGCAGCCTAATAGGAATAAGACATTTTTACTGCAATTACTTCAGTAATCTGGTTATACTAGAAAATTTGTTTTACATTTTTTGTTTATGGAGTTCTGAGGGAAAACTGATTTGCACTGACATTTCACACATATGATCACTTTGGAAACTTGGGAGCAGGGCAGGCATAAATACATCAGGCTCTCTAGCAACAATTTTCAAATGGAAAGATTTTTCTCTAAATCGGCTGTCTCTTCATCAGTGTGAACTTTGACAGAAGCATGAAGAAATCTGAAAGTACTGTTTAGCAACAGCTCATTTTCTCATTAAGAATGTGCCTTACACACTACAAGAGATCTAGAGAATATGCTTAAACTATGCAATCTTCATAAAAGGCTGGGAAAAGAACTGATAAAGATGCAGCTGGTTCTTCTAGGATAATAAAACTCTCACATTCAAGTATTTTTTTGCTAACTAAGAATGCAAAATGGATACCCAGAGCACAGGTCATGACATTACACTCATTCCTAAAGTAACTCAGCATATTGGTATGACACAGCACAGGAGCCAGTGGAAACACAGCTTGATCCTTAAGGTTGCAAACCCCCTGCTATTCAGACCAACATGGAATGGGGAAGTAATATCAGAGAAATCTGAAAACTATGATATGTGCAGTGCAGAACACCAGAAACACTGCAGATACTGCACAGTATTTAAATACAGTACAGCAAGTGTTTAGCGTTAGGTTTTTGTGTGTGTGTGTCTGAAACTTGCCATGGGAGTGAATAAGGCCAGTACTATCTTTAAAAGCTTCTTTTAAAATCAAATCATATGACTTTCTTTAGATACGCTCATGAACACGCTTCACTCCCCAGAGTAAAATTACAACTGGTTCTTCTTATTAAGCATCAATGCATTCAGCCCTGCCCAAGACAGAACAACTATATTTCTTGCAAAAGAAGCCTTAGAGAACAGTTAGCTTGAGCTTGCTTATTTATTTTCAAAATCAAGTATCACTTGAGGGCACAAAGGAAACTCTGTACCTCTCAGCATCTAACAACAATAACAAAAAAGCCAATTTAATACTTTGGAACCAGATTTCCAGTGTTTTCAGGCTGAAGCTAAAGCAAAGTGGAATACCTTCAGCACAGCTGGTTAAGTACTACAATTATCCAGCAAGGCAGAACACATACGACTGATCATACCATGCCCCTACAAAATGAGTGGCCTTTTTCCCCAGCTTGAAGACACCACTAGCAGCAAAGGAATTCACTTGCCTTCTTCTGAAGCTCTGTATGCCTTCGGTACATCTAAGCGGCAGGAGAAGGAAAAGATACCTTAGAGTATCAAAATCTTTTTAAAACTTCTTTGGTTTAAAGAGGGGGAAACTATGTCAAGCATGACTACATTGTTAGCAGCGATTGTCTCAGAAACCCAGGCTATTTTTATGCAAATTAAGCACAAGGACAAGTGTATTACTAATAAACCCCACACAAAGCACTTAAAATTTCAATAGAGCCCAACTGCACCCTGTTCCCAGTGACTTCAGGGCGAGCTGCATGCACATCTGAGATCTCACCCAGCTTTCACGGCTGCCCAATTCACTGCAGGAACACAAGTGAGAAAAAACTCCCCCACAAGAAGAGAAGGGAATGGAAAGAGCCTCAGGCTCAGCTACTGTAGTGCTACAAAGGCTACTACCATCTGGGAGAATGATGCATAATTGCCAATGACTCCACACTCTTCAGCCTATTTGGGTTTCTAGGTTTTCTGGTTGGGTTTTGTGTGTGTGTGTGTGTGTATGTGTGTGTGTAATCTTTTCTTTTTTCTGCTAGTGCATGTGCATTTGCCTGTATTCATTTTTCTTCCTCCTCCTGCTCCCTAAGCGCCTTCCTGCTCCCCTGACATCTGCTCCATTCTGGCTCTTTCAATTCACTGGTTTCTGTCTTGCTCTTACCACTGAAAGGTCCAAGGAAAATGTTCGCTTGTACCCAGATTTTCACCACATCCCAACCGGAAGGAGCCTGGAGAATACTGTTCCTACCCCACTCTATCGCTGCTCAGTGGAAGCCTCCCTAAGCTGGCCTTTAAATGTCACCACCAACCTGAAGGCTTACACTGGCCTCAAACAAGAAATTCTCTACCTTGTGCCTAATGGCTCCTATACAGGGAAACTGCTGATCAGACTCACCCACTATTACAGATATGGTTTACAGAAAAATGAAGAGCTGGTACTTCTAATTTGTGGAGAAGGTATTGAAATCAATTTCCACTGAATTCAGCCTGGAAATTGTTTGCCAGTCCATACTCAAAAGTAGTTTTACAAAAGACATTCATGGCATTCTCAAGTTTACCTGCTTGACTAGATTTAACGATATTACCAATGACACCTGCAATAACAAATATCTTACTAAAGGAAAATAAAACAGAGAACGTGTTTGTGTTTACATAGTTTGGTTTTCTCTCTAACATACCTTGTGCTCTTCTTCTTTTCCCCCTTTACCCAGGCACCAGATATCTTTCCATACTGGTTCTCAGCAGGCTGACACATCTCACCTCCTCAACTACATGTTAATAAACCAAATATAAAGTTTTGGTTTGAACTCCTTGTCTGTGACCTACACCTTTCCAATACAAAACTCCTCACAGCACAGTGGCAAAACGATCACAAACCAATATACACAAATCTTTTCCCCCATAAGATAACTGGGAAATAAGACATGCAGCAACTGCAACTTGGTATTAATTCCACAAGGGAATGAATATTTGAACTGTCATATTGCAGTGAGGAATTGCCTTTATTGGTTAAACACTAATCCTCTTGACCTGGACAAAGCTAGCTTTGCCAAAACAGACCTTTGGTTCAGACAGTTCTCCTTTTGAAAATGCATGGTTGTCATTCATCTTTAGTGTACTTCACACAAGAAAAAAAACAGGTTACATTACTGCTTTACACAATGTCTTCCTTCTACATACAAGGGAACATCAGTACTTTTGTGTTTCCCAGTAGACATCTATACCTTTGAATTCATGAGGGAGAAAGGAACAGCAAACCTTTACACTGCTTAGGATTCAGACATGCAAATTGAAAAACATTAGGCAGTATTCAGTCACTGTAAAAGTAGGTGTTGTAATAATGACACATCCTGTGTATACATGTATTCATGAAGCCCAAGGAAGTGCAAGACATGTTTACAGACTCTCCTGAGAGATTAAGCATTGCTCAGTTTTTATAAATCCCATTGTATTTTACTCTTGCCCCAGTAAATGGGAAATCGGGGGCAGGCGCTAGGACCACTGATCAGTGTACAATTCTGACTAACTCTTTGATTACAGTCTTCCTAAGAAATCTGCTTCTCCTAGAAATATGCTACCTTGCCAGGCCTGCTGTGTAGCTAAGCTTGGGTCAGCATTTCCTCATTTATAGTGCCAGTGTAATCAGTCGCTGAGCCTTGGTCCTTGCTTTGGAATTTTACATTTCATATTCTCAAGATCAACCCATTAATTTGCAAAATTAAAATATGCAAGAAACAGATGCACATCTAGTGTGACATTTCTTTGCTCTTCTCATTAATGCACATCTCTTTCTTAAAAGAATGGAGCCAGGTAACCAAAATCATTCCCTCTGTGCAACAGACAAATCAGCTTCAGCACTTGCTGCACGCTTGCCATGGTGCCCCATTTGAGCCTAACCAATTTATTACAAAAGCATCATTTTCCAGCATTAGAAGTGCCAGAACAGAAACAATACTAGGAGACACAACCTATGACTTCTTTAAAGTAGAAGTGTCAGCAAAAGATTTTAAAGTGGTTTACATCTGGTTTTTAAGCACATATGCACTTTCACTGGGACAGGCACTTGGAAACCTCAAAGATGGTAGTGTATGGTATTTAATGCTTCTCAACAAGAAGGGCAAGTGCCTTTAGAATGACTGGCAAATCCACCTTGCTTCTCCAGGCACAGATTCCCATTAGAACAAAGCATGATCAGAAGTCCCACTAGAGAATGCTCCAATTAAATAGTTACTTATATGGAATAGTGATGATAGTCAAAGCACTTCAGTGCTGTTCTCTCCTTGATAAGAACCCCAAGGAAAAGTACTCTCAGCATTCAGTTGGATACAAGTTGCAATTTTACTCATAAAAACAATTCCTTAATGCATCCTAGTTTCTCTGTGCAGCCCTCAGAAAAAAAAAGGCTTTCTATGGGTGCTGTGTTTCTTGGAGAACAGAATGTTTCATTTTGCTCTAATTCATTCTGTTACTGAATTAAACTTTGATGTATCGGTCTTGAGAAGTGCTTCATGCTGATTGTATTGTGTATGATAGTATAATCACTCCCCATGCATTTCACACTAGCTGGCTGATTAATGCAATAGATTACCTGCAGCACTAATGGCAAGAGGGAATCATTGCCCTTCTGCACACTGAACTCCAAATATGCATTGGAGGAGTGGAGGTA